GGTTCAGTTAGAAAATTATCTTACCTCACCATATCCACAGGAAAAATGCAGTGCTGTCCTTCCCTCTGAATCTTCTTCATCCTTGTCAGAACCGGAATCTAGTGCAGCTTTTAGACCCTAAGTCATAAATACACTCAAGATTTTAAAGATAATCTATCGAACGTAAAGGAAATAAGTACAAAGTGTTCATTGAGCCATACCTCAACATCACCAACACTGGCACAATGATGTACAATAGATTCCTCCTCATTTCCTTCTTCATCACCTTCATCTGCAGCAGAGTTACCAGCAGAGGTGGCTGCATCTCCCGAACCAGTAAAATTCATTGCTTCACCTAACTTCTGCAGAACATCTTTATCATTCCAGTACCTAGACCAGAATGCTTTTGTTTATTAGTAATTTAGCAAAGAAATGGTCGAATGTAGATATCCTAAATGCATTTCAAAGAAGAAAATGTTATGCCAACATGCTTATGATATTATGATGCTCTTAATCTCCTAGTATTTCGATCAATCACCTCATCATTGCTGCGGGACCGCCATTCTCTATTTCTTCTAGAATATGTTTCAATGATGGATCTTCTTTGATTTTTGACATCCTTTCCTCAATCTGGTCTTTGTGTTGTGGATTAGTCAAACTCTCAAGCATGCTAGACATAGCTGGATCCTGAAGAAAGATGAAACTCAACTTCATCTACCATACATAAAATCAGCTAAAAAATCATAAATCCACTTACACTGGCAACTGGGAGCACATATACCTGCATCAATGCATTACCAAGGCGCTCAGCCATGGTCATAAACTGAGGATTCTGCATAACCTGCTGCATGGTTGAATAGTACTGCTGTGGATCGAACTGTGGAATACTCTCTTCTGCTGCAGCCCCTTGAAATGTTTTAGTGAGCTGCTCTGCCATTTGGTTAAATGAAGGATCTTTTGCTATCTGCTCAGCTAGTTCCTTGATGCTTGGATCCTAACCGAAATGGCCAAAAACCATAAGCCAAAATATTAAAATGCGTTGAGATATAAATTGTTACAGCCACCAAAGGGAGAATGAATATGAGATTAATGACAGACTCAAGTGCTAGAATAACAAAATTTAGAACCAAGCCTAATACAATCTAAAATGACCTGATCCAACTCAAACACCTAATAAATTGAACTTGATACTAAAAATTGCATTCATCCAAACTCAACCGGAAATTGAAACGGATCGAGACCTAAATGACCCAACCAAACTTATCTGTTTGTCGCAGCTACTGACACCACACTCTGGATATGTTTTGAGCCCCACAAAGCCAGATCGAACAAAATTTAATAACTCTATATAAGAGCAACCGCAGACTACTTTACAAGCTTTATCCAAGCTACAAGATCATCATTCAGTGAAACGGTTCATAACAATCCAAACAAGAATTAAAATAAAAGGAGAGAAGCTTACATTAAGAATGCCACTCATGGCTGAGAAATCAAACGGATTTGGTGGGGCAAACCCTGGTTCGGGCATAGTGGCAGGTGAAGCTACATCCTGTACTGGTTTTGACTCTCCACTGGAGCTTTTGCCAGAATTCTCATCTAAGAAAGACACGAAAAGCATAAAAAAATAAACAAAATTCACAAACAAGCCAAATAGGTATTAACCAATGTTAATCCTCAACAGAAATGAAACTAGTCAATTCCAATCAACAAAATCCTTAACACAAATTATATAAGTACTAAACTTAGTACCACTAAAAGGAATACAATACAGTCACAGAGAACCAAGCAGTATTGACAATACCGACGATAACGAGGAAAGATAGCTTTCTTCTTTGAATTCGAAAACAATATCAATTCAACACCGAGACATAGTACTAAAACAGGAGTAATTAGAACAATATGCAACACTAAATTAAGTCATCTGCCCATTAAGAAATAATGAAACGGAGCTCCAATGGATCTCAGAATAAATTTGTACTACTAAAAGGAATACAATACACAAGTGCAAAGCAGTATGGAAAATAATGATGACAGTTCGCTTCCTTCTTCGGATTCGAAAACAATATCAATTCAGCACCAAAACATGGTACTAAAACAGGAGAGATTACAATAATCTGCAACACTAAATTGTCAACCGGCCGCCGATTAAGATATAATGAAACGGGACTCAAATAGATCTCAGAATAAACTACAAAATCCAATTCAAAACTGAAAGAAAAAAAACATAGAAAAAGAATCAGAGATTGGGCTGATCAGTACCAGTGGATTCCTTCTTCGAATTGGAAGCCATCGCAGCGAATAGCTGAATCGAACAATTGAACAAAAAATTAAAAAATTAGCTGGAAATTAGAATTTCAAGAAATTAGCAGGTAATTAGAAGAATAGATTGGAATGAAACCTCTTGATTTTGAGGTTCTGGTTTCGGTGTAACCAAAGAAATGGAATAAATATATTAAAAAAAGGAGAAAGATAATATAAAATAAGAGAATGAAAAGGCTTTGACTCTGGTGGGCTCTGGCAATTAGGGGTTAGAGCCTAGAGATGAGTTGTTGCCGGGCCAGGTTTGAGATCCGAATTTTCTTGGTAAGATTTTCTTTAGTTTTAGGGTTAACTATAGCTTTGATAACTTTTATTTTATATTTATAAATTTTTCTCATTATGTTTTGATCATTTCTGGTACAACCACCAATATCTGATTTATTGATCGACTATTTCGGATCAGGTTCGATAAAGGAAATGATGACCCTCCCAACATTTGCTTCATTTGAAATCACCAGGATTCAAGCCTCTAACCTTGCCTAAGAGATCTAATGTATCATCTCACTAGATCAACTGGTTGTTGGTTGGTCATTTATGTTATTAATATTACATTTAAATCGTTGAGTTGTTATCTCATTATAGTTTGATGACGTGATACGTCAGTTAAAAGAGCTAACTTTTAATTTGAACCCTAAACTTCATATATAATATTAATTTAAACTTAAATTTTAGATAAATATTATTTTAAGTCCTAAAATTTAGATAAAATATCAAATTGACCTATAAATTCGACCAAATTCTCCTTTCATCGATTGTCACTTATCACTATTATCCTTTGAACTTTAGATGAAATATCAATTTGACCTCTAAATTTTTATATAACATCCTCGCGTTATATATATATATATATATATATATATATATATAAAAATTTATCATATTTAATATTTAAATATTAAAAATATATATTAATATTATAAACATAACAAAAAAGCTTAACATATGCAGATTTATATTTTGGATCTCCTTATTCTTAAAGAAATATTAATGATATATTTATTATTATGATTTAATTATAATGAAAACCGTTGGGTTGTAAGCTAGATGTATTTAGTTTTGGAATATATATATATATATATTAAAATTTATCATATTTAATCTTTATAAATATTAAAAATATATATTAATATTATAAACATAACAAAAAAAATCTTAACATATGCAGATTTATATTTTGGATCTCCTTATTCTTAAAGAAATATTAATGATATATTTATTATTATGATTTAATTATAATGAAAACCGTTGGGTTGTAAGCTAGATTTATTTAGTTTGGAGTATTTTTCGATTAAACAAATGTAAAATTTGTGTTCAAAATATAAAAAATGAGTTAATTGAAAGTTTTGAGGTCCAATAGTTAGTGGACAACACCGATCGACAATGACTAGCAACAATGGTGGTGAGTAGTGATCGATGACGGGAGACTTTGGTTGAATTCATGGTTAAAATGATATTTTATTTAAAGTTTATGGGTGAAAATGATATTTCAATTAAATTTTAGAATCAATTTAGCCCATCATACCATATTACTGTCGCTGTCACTACCAAGACCAGCCGACATCTCTATCATTGACTTCTAACTCTCGTTGCTTTCTCTTTTTGAGCTAAATCATCATCACTTCGAATCAAATTTATAAAATTTTAACTTGAAGTTAATTCGAATCAAAATTTTTGAGTTGATTCGAGTTGAAAAAATTAAATTTTTGAGTCAAATCGAATTGAATTTTACTCACCGCTACCAATGGTGAGGAGAGAGAACCTCTATAATCCAGATTCGAGGAAGAACTTGATGCTAGAGATCCTTTTCCTGAAATGCAAGCATCGGCCAAAGATAGAAAAGGGAGGGAAAATACGGTTCAATGCTCGAGATCCGGAATAAATTCCTCTCAATTTTGGAAAGAGAAAAGAAGCTATTAAAAAGAGCAAGTCGAAAATGGAAAGTGAAAAGAAAGTAGTGACCGACGTATTATCTCTATCAGACTTTGGTATATTAATAGGAGAAAAGTGAAGCCCACATAAATTTGATGCGTATTTATAAATTTGCTGTGTATGTATTGGGATATGGAAAATATTGCTCAATTTACTGTCTGATTATTCTCTTAGTTCCTTACATAAATTCGTTGCCTAATAGAAAGCTCTACTTCTCAGAACATTGCTTTACGTTTCCTGGTGAAAGTTGAAGCCCACATCAAGCATAGCACTCGGAGGAAAAACACGACACATAGTCACCTTTCTATTAGACTTATTAATCTAATAATGACTGCCTATTTCTCTCAGGCTTCAGACTTAGCCACCTCCACATTCTTAGCATCAAAAACCACCGTCTTCGGGTTTTTTTTAAAGTATCCACCGTCTCGCCTTCGTTTGATCAATCATACGACCGGCAAAGAGTATAGATTGAAGGCCATTGGAGATGCCGGTCCGGTCATTGAGGCTGGAGGGATCTTTGCACATGCAAGGAAAACAGGAATGATTCCATCTCAGTCAAACTAAAATTAATTTTAGTTTTACTCAAGGTTTATGTATGCGGTTAGTGTATCAAATATTAATTCATAAATAATCATGTTCATGTCGTGATTTATGGAGTTTAAAATAAACTAAGGCCTTAAATTATCAAAAACTTATTGGATGTCATGCATAAAACTAGAATACATGGAAACTTTTGTGAAAAAGTTCCTGGAAGGAACCCTATAGCTGCAGTTCTAATTCCTTCTCCGTCCATTTCGATGGATCCTTGTTCTACTTCTCTTTTGTGGGTTTCGCTTGATCATCTTCGCTAGCCAACGAGGTCTCCCTGTTGTGAAAAATACGTACCCCATGCTCAATCCAAAAACTAGTCCACATCCATAACCCATTGCTGTGATACTCCAAAACAGTGCCGTTTCAGATTCATGATCTTCAGCAATTGTTGATGGAGGTGATTCCGATCCCACATCGTTGCCGCATTTCTTTGACAATGGAAATCCGCATAGTCCGGAGTTACCATCGAAGGAATCATTCGAGAAAGTATCGAAATGACTTGCTTGTGGTATAGGCCCCTCAAGATTGTTCTGAGAAAGATTCAGTGCACCAAGAAACGATAAGTCAGTTAACTGCTTCGGAATTCTTCCTTGGAGCTTGTTTGACGAGAGATCTAATGACTCGAGTGCTGCCATTTTCCCGAGTGATGTTGGGATGTTACCTGTTAAGCTGTTATGGGAGAAGTTGAGCACTATCAGCGAGTTAAGTTCTCCGACTGCTTCAGGAATCGGTCCTTGGAAATGGTTGCACGAAAAATCAATGACTGTGAGAATAGTTAAAATTCTCTCAAGCTTCATCTCCAATCCTTTCATTGTTACAATTGTAGAATCATGGTAATATCTTATTACGTAATATTGAGAATAATAACTATCCCCCATATAACTTGGACCGGTCTTGTTTTCCTGAATATCTCTCATTGCTTTGAAATGATGAAAGAGTGCAGGCGAAAGCCGACCAGTGAACTCATTAAGAGAGAGATCAATCATTCGCAGACTGCTGAAGGAAAACGTGGCATTAAAATCTTGTATGCCACCATGGAATCTATTAGATCGAAGAACAAGAACATGCAGATTCGGAAGCCAGCCTAACCAATACGGAAATGTGTCGATCAAGCCGTTGTTTCCTAAATCTAAAACTTCCAGCCTTTTGCAGTTACTCAAAGAGCGTGGAATTGATCCTTCAAGTTGGTTCCCATTCAGGTTAAGACTTCTCAATATGCCACCTTCAGGGTATACCGGTGGGATTTTGCCAACGAAGTTATTCATTCTCAGATCCAAAACTGAGAGATAACTAAAATTGCCAAGGCAGCTTGGAATAACTCCACCCAACTTATTCATGGACAAGTCAAGTATAACAAGAGAACTCGAATTGCAGATTGTAGAAGGTATTTCTCCAACCAAATCATTGTCTGAGATGAAGATGTGAAGTGGATTCGATTGAAGGTCGAGAGTCGGTAGATACTTCCCATGAACTCGCTCTACACTTGTGAAGTTCATAAGAAAAGTTCAAGGTGATCAGGTAAATAGAAAATCTTCATAATAGTAAGAGTTAATTGCACCACATGTCCTCAAAGTATGACCCTCATTTTAAATTGGTCACTAAACTTTTAAATATTCTAATTTCATGCTAAACTATGATTATCATTCTAAATTAGTCCTAAACTGATGAACATTTCAATTTCATCCCCAAACTATGACATTCATTCTAAATTAGTCCCCTAAACTTTTTGAACATTCCAATTTTATCCCAAACTATACATATATACTAATCACATTGATTGTTAAGCCAAGCAATATTATTATATGTTTGAAAAACAAAAATTAGGTTAAATTATGGTTGAAATTAATTCATATCCGAATGAATCTAGGGATGAAATTGGAATATTCAAAAGTTTGGGGACCAATTTAGAAAGAGGGTCATAATTTAGGGATAAAATTAGAATGTTCAAAAGTTTAAGGACTTATTTAGAATGAGAGTAGTATTTTGGGGATGAAATTAGAATATTCAAAAGTTTAAGGACCAATTTAAAATAAAGGTCATAGTTTAGGGACATGTGATGCAATTAACTCTAATAATAAAGTACGAAAATAAGCTATAATTCTTTTATTTAATTCAATTGTAGTATATAAGGTGGCGTTTAGTTCGCTGGAATCGCTTGGAATTGGTGGGAATTAGAATCCAATTTCACCACTTTCCCATGTTTGGTTCAAGTTTTCCAAGGGAATTAGAATCCCTCATGGCTTCACTTTCCATTAAATGAGGGAAAGTAAATTCCATCCAAGAATAGATGGAATTTAATTCCCTTGTTGGAGGGAATTGAAATTTGACCATACTACCCTCATCAATCTTTTGGTAACTTATTCATATATTGAATAAAAATATTTTTTTATTATTTTGGATCGGGTTTCTAATTCATATATTCGGGTCGGGTGAAACTTTATTTTGGTCGGGTCGGGTCGGTTTTTTTAAGTGTGATATTCAGGTCGGGTCGAGTTTGGGTTTAGGGTGAAAAATACCCGTCCCGAAAATATATATAATTTTTACCTTATATATTTAGGAATAATTACAATAATACCCCTTTATATATAATTTTTTTCAATTAAGTCACTGTTTTTATTGAATACAAATATTTTTTTATTTCGGATCGGGTCGGATTTCTAATTCATATATTCGGGTCGGGTCGGGTGAAACTTTATTTTGTTCGGGTCGGGTCGGATTTTTTAAGTGTGATATTTAGGTTGAGTCGGGTCGGATTCGGGTTTAGGGTGAAAAAATCGGACCCGACCCGAAAAAAATATAATTTTACATTATATATTTAGGAATAATTACAATAATACCCCTCTATATATAATTTTTTTCAATTAAGTCAATGCTTTTATTGAATAAAAATATTTTTTTTTATTTCGTGACATGTCGGGTCGAGTTTCTAATTCATATATTGAATAAAAATAGTTTTTGGTATATTTTTTTGTAACTAATTAACATACTCCGATTGGAATGTATCGAAGTATTGTTCTATCTTTTGGTAACTTATTAACATATTTTGATTGCGATGATTTTAACTTATGATATTTATTAGTATGATTTTTATAATTTATTGAAATGAATAATCAATCAATAAAATAAAATTTTAATATTTTTTAATTTTTTATAATATATTACTACATGTAAGTTGTAAAACAAACTAAAATAAAGCATTGGTCTATGTTCACGTTATAGAAATAATTTACTTTGAACATATTTTTTTAATTTATTAAAAATATATTTAGTAGGATGCTAATAAATATATAATTAGATCAAATAAATTTGTTCACGTTATAGAAATATTTTACTTTGAAAGGCTATAAAGCATTGGTCTATGTTCTTGGAAATAAAAACTTTCAAATTTTAAGAAAGAGGTTCACATAAATTAACTTTAATTCATATTATTAAATTTATTTATGTCAATGAATAATATAAAAATATGTTGAGAAACAAGCGAACAGAATTAAATGAAATGTTTTTGGAAAGGGCGTAGAAGTCGAGGGAGAACACGTACCTTTAAAATTGTCGTCAGATAGATCGAGCATTGTTGAATTAAAAATACTTTTTGGAATGAACCCGGAAAATTGGTTTGCTGACAATAGTAGAACCTGAAGGTTGTAGCATCGACCTATACTTGACGGTATATCACCAGATAATTTATTCATATTTAAATGAAGCCTTTGAAGCTTGGGAAGATTGTTACATAGACCATCGGGCAAACTATTTGATAAACTATTGTTGGCTAAAGAAATAAACTTTAGAGAAGATATGTTGAAGATAGAACTCGGAATTCGACCCGAAAGACTTTTCATTGCTTGGATATTTAACACCTCTAAATCAACGAGATTGTCAATTTCACGAGGAATTTCACCTGTAAACAAAGTTGAAGCATCGATTTATTAATCACATCCAACGCTAACAGAACAACTTGACGTGTTATTATATTTTTGAAAAATAAAATAAAATTTGGGTTAAACTATACGTAGATGAAATTGGAAGATTCAAAAGTTTGTTGACCAATTTAAAATGGTAGTCATAATTTGATGATGAAAATGAAATATTCAAAAACTTAGAATGAGAGTTGAGGATGAAAATGAAACATTAAAATATTTTGAGATTGATTTAGAAGGATGGTCATAGTTTAGAGATGTATCATATAATTAACTTAAAAAAGATACTAACGTGGTTAAACTAAATATACAAAAAGAAAACTGCGTACCTTGTAGGTTGTTAAACCCCAAATATAATTCTTTGAGTCGTATCAGATTTCCAATGCATCTTGGAATGATCCCAGTGAATTTATTAAACGAGAGTTGTAAAATTTGAAGGTTGCTGCATTTATCTATGTTTAGTGGAATATTACCAGATAATTCATTCCCATCCAAGTAAAGTCGTTCAAGTTCGGGAAGATGGTGACATAGATCATCGGGTAAACTTCCGAAAAGACTATTGTCGTCAAGAGAAATCTCTTTCAAGGAGGAAATCTTGAAGATGAAAAATGGAATTCGACCAAACAGTTGATTTGATCCCAGATCCAAGATCTTCAGATCCGACATGTTGACAAGTGTTTGAAAGATTTCCCCGTTAAGATCGTTGTAGCTTAATCGAAGGAGCCTCAAACGATGCAACTGCCCCAATTCTATAGGCAGGTGGCCGTAGAAATTGTTGCTTCTCAAGTCGAGAGAGCGCAGAAATGAAAGATGCCCAAGGTGTGGAGGGATGGTACCCTTAAGATCCATGTTTGAAAGGTTCAAAGCAGTAACTCTTTCATGGATGACACCACAAGAAACACCGACCCATTTGCAAACCGAGCTGGACGACGTCCAATTGGTTGTCAACGCATTTCGAGGATCCTCGATGCGATCTTTGAATTGCAGAAGTGCAAATCCGTCGGTGGTGAGATTCTTAGTGCTCATAGCTAAGCAAACTATGAAGCAATGCAACCACAAAACAAGAAGAAGATGAAAGCAAGTGGTGATGTTCATGATTTTGAGATGAAATAAGTCGATTGAAAAAAAGGGAAGTGGAATTTTTAAAAGTGTTGATGATGAAGAAAATCCCAGATAGCATGCTTAAATAGGTTTAAAAGTCTTTTCACAATTCTCTGATTTAGAATTTACTGCAATTACAACTTTAATGGAATTTTTATTTTCTGATTGACATTTATCGTTAATTTTCACCAATTTAACGATATAAAATACATTTTAAACAAAATAATTTTATTATATTCTATTTTCCCATTATCATAATGTCCATAATTTTTATTTTGACTAATTTTAATTTAATTAATTAATTCCTTAAGTTGTTTATGTTATTGATAAGATAATATCATATTAAGTAAATAATTAAAGGAAAAGAAGTTGCTTATACATAGGATATGAATGAGATCATGGTGTTATTTGTCGACATATCTACTGGATTTACGACTGGTTGTCTCTTATCTTTCCAACGGTTCTTGAATCACATCAATTTGATATTGGGAATTCAATATACGTTCATTTTAGTGAAGACAACACATACATAATTTTCTATACGAGATTAATACGAGTTTTTATAAATATTACAAATTTTCAATATTTTTATTGATTATTTATAATATAATTTAATATAGGATGATATATTATATTTTAGGGTTATATTTATTATTTTATTAAGAATTAAGGTAAAAATAAAACAATTATATTTAGTTTATTGTTATTAGGAATTAGGATAGTATTGTTATTGCTATTTTTATTATCATTTTCAAGCATTATGCATATTACAACAAGGACTCATTCACCCTATGTAAAGGAGGCTCCTCCCACCATTGTAAACACATCTTTTATTGAATACAATACATTGAGAGTTTATCTTTGTAAGTATTGATTATTTGTGCCTTTGAAGCTTCTTTTCAATAAGTTCTTTTCAAGTTCTTGGCGAGAGAGATCTTCACACTCCAGTTTACCTCTTCATTGCGATTAAGAGGACTGGTTAGAGCTGTCATAACCATTTTCTTTAAAACAATTAAGTTTAAAAACAATTATGACTATATTTGAAAATTTGTCGATTTTGAATTAGTTTGAATTAAATTGAATAGGAGTCGCCATCGACCTTTTGAGCTAGGTAGGTCGAATACCTAAAAAATGTTTTTTAAAACAATTTTAAGGAAAAATCATTTTTTTAAGACAAAAATTGATCTGCGTTTACCAAAATCCAATCTAATGGGTCTGAGAGTTGATTATGTGTGGGGAATGATTAGTATTCTCACAACGCCCAAAATTGGTACTTAGTCGCTTACACATCGTCGTAAATGGTGGAAAATATAAATTAAATATAAAGTTAGAATATGATCCATTTATCGAACATTGATTAATTTGTTTTGAATTATTTATTACGGAAAACTCTTTAACTTGAAAAGAAATCTCGAGATAAGCAATCATCCATCGAAAAAGTTGTCTCGTCTATTTCTTATCTGTAAAAGAATATTCCATCCTCATTGTTATCCAAGATCGCAAATCAAACATAAGTTATTGACAATTTCATAAACAACACGACGTACTATTTTAAGAAGAAAACATTGCCATTAAACTAAAACAAAAAAAATGAATTAAAAAATAAATTCGATCACTTTTAAATTCGCCTATCGTTCGAATGTCATATTGAATCACACTACTTCGATCAATCAATGCTTTTCACGCCCATTCTACGACGAGTGTTCTTTAAAGTACTTTCGGAACATGTAATTATACTTGTTTTAGTTATTAAATTTTTAAATTGAAAGATTATATATATGAGTAATATTGGATAATTTTTTATTATATTTTATTGCCACAGTCAATAACATATTTTTGGACTTGTCACTGGTTATTCACTTGCTTTTCCACAATAACTTTAAATTTTTTTTAATGGAAGAAATATGGATTTATCATAAATTGAATTTGAAATTATTATTTACATTTAAAACTGAAATTTTGTAGATATAATTTAAGTTTATTTATATTAGTTTTTATTAATTTATTTTCCTATATCAATTTTTGAAGGTTTAAAATATCATTCAACATTTTAATTTGTTACTTTTTTATTTTTATAAATGGGGTACCTATAGTTTTTTTAACCTGTTTAATAAATATATTGATCAAATATTACACATTTAGCATCTGAATTTATTATTATAAATTCGATCAATCAATTGAAAATCGTATGAGAAGAGCGATTTTTTTTTTAAATTATTAAAATCATTAAAAATAAAACTTTTTGACGCACTCGATTTACAAAGGATTAATATATATATATATATATATATATATATACAAAAAAAATTAGGTTAAGGGTGACTCCTCCAGTCCAGGGTCATGACATATGTAAGAATCAATTAAGATTCATATAAGAATTTACAGATTGTCTACTAAGAGTAACGGTGGTAGGATTCGACCTTGACATTACAAACTCAAATTCTTGAATCCCAACCACTCGTACTAACATGACTGCATAGGATTAATATATATTCGTTAGAAAGAGTAAATAGAATATTTAATTTTAAACGTTATCCAATTCTATAATAACAAATACGTAAAAGCCAGTCAACCATGAAATTGTCTAAACGCCTTGCTTGCTTAGATAGTGCAAGAGGCTATTTGATGTGGAAGGGGGCTTTGTTTTAACGTTGATAATAAGGTTTACCTTTTAATTGTAAGAATAATTTAAAAAGAAATTTCAAAATTTTTAATGAATTTTCCATAAATTTCTAAAATCTTGAAATATTTTGAAAATTCTAAGAAACAAAGAAATCATAGAAGTATTTTATATTAGTTAAAAATAAAATTGAAAAAAAAAACTAATATACGAATCTTCTTAAAATGACGGAAAGAGAAATACTGATACAACCCATAATTATACAATTATACAGTGATTATTCAAACTTGTTTTAAATTAAAATATTTAAATAATATAAAGTGATAATAAATTTTAAAAAATCACATAAAGTAAAATTTAAATGATGTAAAATCTGGTATGAACTAAGCAACATCGGTCGTTATTATCTTTAGAGATTCTGAGCTCAAACACATCATCTATAGGGATGTTTATTATTATTTTGATATGACATAATATTTTTTATTGTTTAATGTAAAACCAATTTAAAATATAAAATCAAACCTAGACGATAGTCGATAGTGATGAGAAGAGACGATAATTATTTTAAATTTAATAATTGTAAAATATTATTTTATTATTTATTTTAAATTATTTTTATAACATAAGAATACCATGTGAATAATAATAATAATAAAATATTTTATAGGGACCAAAACAGAAACAATAAAAGTAGGTAACTTAATAAATTGATATTCTGACTTTTGCTGAAATTCCTCAAGAAATCGAAATTCATAAAACTAAAATCCAAGATATTTCTTTTGGCATACATTAAAATCCTAACGTGTTTCGATCAAGAATTTAAATTACGGTTGTGATCATATTTTTAGATTGTGTTGCGTTTATCGCGATTGTGGTAATAGAGAATTCTATTGTGGTCATTATGAGTATCGTGGTTCTAGAATAACGATTTCAAACGATATATTTACCGCTATATAACAACTGCAATCGAAATAATAGATTGCTACTTATATCCCTAGTTCAAGCTAACAAACATCATGAAAAATATATACCTTGCAAGTTATTAGACCCTAAATATAATCCTTTGAGTGTCAAATTTTCAATGCTTTCTCGAAATGATCCACTTAAATTTATTAATAAACAATACTTAGTAGAATCCAACTTCAAGATCTCCAGAATGGACATGATGACAAGTGTTTGAGGGATTGTGCCTGTAAAACTATTATTAATCATATAACATTTTGACCCTACGTATACAAATCAAACGACTTCAGTGGTTAAAAGGACAATTTTTATCTTTAGAAGTTTCAAGTTCGAGCACCAACAACTGTAAGGTATGTGAGCGTTTATTTTCAAATAGTTGAAAATCTTTATAACAGATACTACCACTTGTAATCACCTAAATTAATAAAGAAACCGAATCAAGTTATCTCAATTATTAAAGGGTTAAGCATTGGGGACTGTAGGTCGACACATTTCCATGTGGGTTAGGCACGCTGCCGAATCTGCAAATTCTTGTTCTTCAATCTAATAGATTCCATGGAGACATACAAGATTTTAATGCACTCTTTGATAATTTCAAAGCAATGAGAGATATTCAGGAAAGCAAAACTGGTCCAAATTATATGGGAGATAGCCATTAGATCTCTCATCAAACAAGCTCCAAGAGAGAATCCCGAAGCAGTTAACCCAGTTGACGTTTCTTGGAGCATTGAGTCTTTCTCGGAACAATCTACAGGGGCCTATATACCACTAGCAAGTCATTTCCATACTTTCTCGAATGAATCCTTCGACGGTTGGATATCTATTGTCAAAGAAATGCGGCAACAATCACCTCCATCAACAGCTGTTGATATAGGGTTCCTTCCAAGAACTAACAATCACCTCGTTGGCTAGTGAAGATGATATAGGGTTCCTTCCAAGAACTTTCTCATAAAAGTTTCCATGTTTGGACCTTTGTTTGAACATTTTTTTATCATGAAGTTCAAAAAAGTTTTATTTGGATTGTTTTCATTATCGATTAATTGAATTTTGGTCATTTATGTCATCAATGATTATGTTTTAATCACTGAGCCTTTAATTCAAGTTAGTTTGATGATGTAACACTTTAGTCGAAAGATACTTTTTGATTTGACCTCTAAATTTTAGATGAGATACTAATTTGATTATGAACTTTTAAATAAAGTATCATTTTAACCTAGGATGTAAGAGTGAGTATTTGATCGAGTCGAATCAAGTAAAAAAATTATGAGTTATTTTAATTAACGAGATCTATTTTATAACTCAAACTTTATTTAATTTTTTTTCAAGTTGAGTTTATGAAATTTGAGTTGTGTCTATAGAATTCAAGATCCACCGTTTATGGTCGTCCTCGTGTCATTTGAAGGATTCGGGAGGTTTGGCGTTCGGGACATGGGCA